CTTTTGCCGTCAGGGGGGTGTGGTGGTTGAAAAAGGCATGCATCATTCACCATCCTTTAGGGGTCTACTAATTTGTAGACCTACTCAAGTTGAAGTGCCGATCTGTAGACCTACTCTATCGGCAGTAAACATCATTGGAAAGCAAAAGGTTTTATCTTTCTCCGCTGCTAATTGGTTAGTATACAGCAGCAGAAAAAAAAGTTTTCCCCTGTTTACTTGCGAATGACGATCGCTGGCATGACGTGCATGGAGTGCTCATTATGTGTGTGCCCTTCCATCCATTGTAAAAGTAGAGAGGGGGTGGAACCACCCTCAGGGTGCCAAATGAAGTTGTACTTTTCGTACAGAGTTTAGGTATGTGAGCCATGACCATCTCTATGTCCATATTTCTGGGGGGGGGAAAACAAAACGGCCGCTGACACGCCCTAGCCAGCGACCAAGCTGTTTGGGATCTCAGAGAGTTTGTGCAAAGCATGTTGCATTCGTACTCTGCAGTTTTTGCGGTCCAGCTTTACTTGATCGCAGCTTGTCAGATTATTTCACCTTTCTCTCTCTCTCTCTCTCTTCCCCCCCACCTTGTCTCTCTCTCTCTCGTCTCTTCCCCGCCACCTTGTGTCTCTCTCTGGGTGCTTACGGGACAAGCGATTGTTGATTGTTTGGGCTGGCTGTGTATGGATTCTTGAGCTGTCTGGTTGGGTGGGCCATGGAGGAGGGCTTATATCTCTGGTTTTCAATTCTTGCTTTGTGGTTAATCTGTAATCTGCCCATGCTCCAGGGATCTCAAGGCAGAGAATGTATTGATGAGTACAGATGGCACTTGGAAACTCTGCGATTTTGGCAGTGTCTCCATGAAGCATAAGGTCTTTGATCGTGCAGAAGAAATGGGCGTGGAGGAAGACAACATTCGGAAGCACACGACACCTGCCTATCGGGCACCTGAGGTATGGATGGAAGACTCTGCTGACATGATGGATGATGGTTGTCACGGATACACATGCGCAACCCACACACAGTAGTTATGGATCCGCACGCCGGGCCTCACGCGACCACCGTGCATGCACAGATTCAATCCAGCACCCGTACGCAAGACATTACAGTTATCAAAACGTGTTACAATCATTGTAAATATCACATATAACTTAGAAAAGAAAAGAAAAAAAAGACAAGGCTGTTTCAATTTCGGATCTACTCATCTGGGCGGAAAAGGGTTGTTCTGATGACAGTTGGCAACACACACACAGACACAAAGGGTTTGTTGGAGGGCTTAGTTTGTTTTGTTTCGTTCAGTTTTGGATGCTCAACTACAGAGCTTGAGGGTTTATTAAACTTTATTTGTTTGTTTCATTCAGTTTTGGATGCTAAACTGTGCATTTCGCGGAAAGGGTCTGTGGGCACCAAGTGCTCAACTACAGACGCATTGCCTGCCTTGGTCTCTGATTATTGTTGTGTAGATGTTGGGATGTATCGGGGCTCATTCTGGGGGTTTCTGATAACATGGAGACACAGACAGTGATGAACACCAACACAGACGGACACACGCATAGTATATTGCCATTTTTTTTATTTTTTTTTATTTTTTTTTCGCCTACCCCTGTGACCCCTCCGTTGCCCAGAAAAATGAATTTAATATCATTGTGAGCTGATGGACCATGGATCAGGTATTAGACTGGTCAGATAACAAATACTGCACTTTACCTATTTTTAACCAAAAGGCCGAGAAAGGTATTATATATTGCCAAGTTTATAGAAGCCATGAGATCAATATCTAACAACAAGTCAGTAAGCACTGGCTGCTCAGCTATGCTCTCGAAGGCATGATCAGCTCTGTTTCGCAGCAAGGATAAAGGTGAGCTTTATCGAGAAAGTGGCGTGCGATGTTGCTCGATCGTGCAACGTGTTGAGGAGGTTGCCTTCGATCGCAGGCAGAATGCGCTTTCCCTCTGTTGTTCTACACCACATACAGCAAATTTAACCACAGTCCACCTGACAGGATCCATTTCGTCAAACCACCAGCTCACCCATATATTGGCCGCGGGGCCTCTTTCGGAGGCTGCCGATGGAATCTATCAACGGTGGCCCCGCCCTGCCCGACCCCGGATTTTTTGGTGGTGGGGACCAGCTTATTTCTGCAAGATGGGGGGAGTGTACTCAATCCTGTTCGTTAGGCACGTGATTATGCCTTGCAGCTGATTTCTCAGGACTGGAGGCCAGTACAGGACAGGAGGCCAGCACTGCGTGCAAGTGGGTCCTTGTGACACACGGGGATGGGGGCAGCCAGCGCTCAACCTGTCATCCATGTGGCTGCCTTTGTACGAAAGAGGTGATGAACAGGTGGGGCTTTCCTTCCTTACTTCTTTTCCTTTCCTTGTTCTGCTTTTTCTGCCTTCGCGCTCCGATTCAGTGTGACCATATATTACCGTTTGAGGGCACTTGTTATGGGTAGAAGTTTCTTCACATGGCTCGGACAGTCTTTCAGTGTTCGACATAGAAGAGCATCTGCTGTTTGTGGTCTCTAACACCTGTCTCTGTGCAGCAGATGTTAGTCTGTGCTGTCAGGTGGTCGGCATCCCCATGGACACTAACGCTGGACCAGAAATCACCAACCTTACGCTCTACTGGGACGAGGTGCATCAATAAACTTCGTCAGGGGGATGTACATGCAGAGCAAGAATATGCATGTACTTACCGGTTCATTGATGACCTCCTATCCCGGAGTAACTTTGCACCGCCTCCTGCGCAGTATGGCCTTGAGTAGGAAGACTCTACAGAGCATGATGGTTCACGTCTCTTTCTAAGGGCAAGAGTCTTTGTTCGGTCGACATCGGCGCATTCAATAAGGATGAAGCCTGGAATTTTCCCGCCATACGCTATCCCAGTGCCTGGAGGAGGGTCGCAAGCTCTGCCGCTTGCGAAGAACAATCTGGCCGACCCTCTCCCCTCCCCACCTCCCGGTGCACCTGTAATCAGACCTTCTCATGCTCGCGAAGCTAGGAACAGGCGCAGCATCGTGAACCTGGAGTACAGACTCTCACATGAACCACCTGCAGTGTGTCGTGTTATTGCTGCACGGCGAGCAGCTGCAGACCAGATCCTGCAATAACTAAACACCCTCACATTGGATTAGACCCCGACAGGCAATGTCTGCTGTGGAATCCCAAGAAACTTGCTCAATGCTGCACTGTGACGACCCACCTGATGTTCGGCTAGCATGTGATCAATGTTCTTTGTGTTGCGAGGAGTATCGACCAAACTCAGCAATCTATAGAAAGTGCGAATCGTCATAAGGGGCCGGTCTGGGCCTTTCGCCGGAGAACAGCCCAGATTCACAACTGATAGTCATAATTTGGACGGGCCATGAATCTGGGCTGTTTTCACGCGCGGATGGTCCAGATAGGTGGTCGGTCTGGAGTTTTGGTGATTGGCCATGGATCTGGGCCGTTCTTCAGCGAAAGGATCAGTACCGCTGCCAACCATTGTCGTCATCGGCCAATAAAACTGGAAGCGGCGCCAAGCAACATAAAAACTGACGTGCTGCGTGTCATACACACTTTTCAGTATTGCCCTGCATGCCCCCTCCACCGCCCTTGCTTCGCGGTGGCACAGAAGGTCAGTCAGGGGTTGATTTTCAGAGAAAAATGAGCTGAGGAGCAGGTGTTGCCTACCTCTGCAGACCAGATAGGGAGAGGTGGTTAACGGAGGTCTCAATTTTCAGACTTCTCATGCCATTTATAACAGAATCCAAGGGTCATTTTAACCAAACTTGCCACCAATTCATAGAGTGGAAAAAGAAAAGGAGCTGAAAGTGGGGGCCCCCGTTAACCACTTGTGCAGATAGGACCAGTTCAGGTGTGGCCTGTGGAAGCACTGCATCTCGTTCTTGCAATTCCAGTCACAGTATTGATTGGCGTGGTGTAGATAGATGTCACTGGCAATGTGGCTCCCATATGCTAGGAGCACACACATGCACACTCTTCAATGTCGCCTTGCACGCCCGCCCCCACCTCCCTAGCTAGGCGCTGGCGCAAGAGGCCAGTTATGGCAGGGGTTGGGTTGTAGAGAAAAATGAACCGAGGAGCAGATGTTGCCTATGGTGAGTAGCTATCTCTGCAGACCAGCTAGGACCAGTTCATGTGTAGCCTGTGGAAGCACTGCACCTCGTTGCTATTCCAGTCACAGTATTGATTGGCTTGGTGTAGACAGATGTCACTGCCAATGTGGCTCCCATATGCTAGGAGGACATGACGACCAGAATTGTAAGCACACTCATTCCAGCCCCTGTCTACAGATAGGACATGCCATGTAAGGGTGCCGTACATGAGCAGAGTGTTGGCTGTCATCATAGGTGTGAAAACAAAGACACGCACACACTATGCGCTCACAAGAGGGGAGGAGAAAAGGCAGTAATGCTCTGTATTGCTCCTCTGTTCTCCCTCCTTTCCTCCTCCTCCTCCACCTCTTCCTCCTCTGTATACTCGGAAGAATTCAATGAACGACTCAGAAATAGCAGCATATTAAAGAAGGAAAATCTTGCTTCACCTCTGCCCACCCTCTTTTTGCATCTATCATCTCTCCTTGCTACATCATTTTTCCATCCATTAACCTCCTCTCTCCCACTTTTTGTTGCAGCATGGGATAGCATCATCTCTCTACCGGGAAAGGAAAAGCTCACAGAACTGATCAAGAGGAAAGCAAACGACGGGAAAGATTGTGAGGCAACAGAGGAGAAAACCTCTCTCTCTGCCACCCTCTCCCTTTCCCACTCTCTCTTATGAGCGGTTCTCCCTCCTTCCCTCCCTTCCTGGCCCCCGTACCTTCATGCAATACCGTGTGCCAAATCAATTGCGGCAACATCGCCGTGATCTTTC